CAAAGAATTCAAAACATAGATCTCATTCACAAAGAAAAAAGCACTCGGACAGGAACCATGTGATGCAGAAAAGAAAACCCGAAATGGATAAATGCTTTATCATACAATTATGATATGGAATACAGTTTTATAATTCTACAAGGAAAGATCATGTCAATAACGGATGATACAGTCAATCAATTCTCCTAATTACTGATTTAAATAAATAATATTCTTTTTCTAAAAATGTTTCCACCGAAAATGTAGAATATGCTATAAAGAAAGGTGTGATATAAAGTACTAAGGATATAAAATATATTAAAGAGATAATGGAGATAATGAAGCATTCAAGAAATGTATAACATTTAAATCACGATGAAATGTACAAAAAATAATGGCTGCAGATTAAAATGAATTTCCAATCAATACAAAAAATAAAAGCAATGAAGCAGTATTGCAATTAGGAAATTATGTACAAAATCTTAATCTGAGAAATGAAATCCCAAAATTTACTCCAGTTTTAAATGGAATAGTTTTTCCAGTTTCATGAAAAGTCACGATCCGGAAAAAGTGCTGGTGCTGCAAGCGTCCATGCATAAATTGCAAGGCACAGCCAAGACGATACAATTTTCACCCATACTGCTGCCATATTGCTATTTAGATGACGCAAGTCACTATCCGGCCTTAAACAGGTTTCTGGTATTGAGAAACTAAGGAAACTTAATTTTCAAATTAAACTATGGTCGCTTGTGCTTAAATTAGTCGAATGTTTATGAAAAAACTTACTTGTACCAGCATGTGAGAGTCATCATTACATAGAGTGAAGCCAACCCAAATACAAAGTGGAAAAATGAATAGCTATATGAAACAGCATCTGACTCGTCATCCCAAACACGTCCGCTTTCGAGATTATCTGAAAATTTTACTTTGAAATATTTCTCTCAAAACTAAAGAAATAAACTGTGCATGCAGATAAAAGTATTAATCATTTAAATAAATAAATAAGTAAAAATTCTTATCTGGACTCTGAATTTCAAATATCTATTTTTTTTTCAAATTAAACTGTGATCACTTGTGTTTAAGTGTTTAAAATAATTCTCTTTCAAAAGATACTCTAATAGTAGGTAAACGAAAATTTGATTTACCAAAAGATTCATGATCCAAAAATTATGTCAACATGCATATAGACGGAAAAAAGCAAAGACAATTTGAATGGAAAAGATAGTAAAAAAGCAGGTAATGTATAAAGTCCATTGCAACTTCGCCCTATCATGAATTCCAAGTTTTGAAAATTCACAGTAAAATAATTATTAAGAATTATTATTTATGATAGGGTGAAGTGTGATGGACCTTCAGATGTGATAATGTATTGCTGAGAACCGTTATCTGCATCATCTACTGTTCCCTGTGATGAACCGCCTGCAATTTTATTGAAACTCGATGACGTCCGGAATGATGCATAAAGTATACAGATAAACCAAATCAGAAGAGAAACTAGAGATTCAGCTGGTATTGGTGTTCCGTAAACATCCTAAAGAATAAAATCATCAGCATTAACAGTGGCTTTGTAAATCAATAGCATGTATTGGTTTTGCTGATATGGCAAGAATTATAGACAAAGTAAATATAAAAAAGAGATATGATCAAAGAGTTTTTTGACATGAAAAAATAGAAAATATTGCATCTCAAATTAACGACTTTTAAACTAAAATTACCTGGCCATAACGAGTTGTATGATTGCTAAAAATGTTAATCAACGAAGGATTGCATTCTTTATCTGAAAAATTATGGTAATTTTCTAGCACTTCTTTTTTTAAATTGGATTTTTTTTAAATCAGTTGTATTGAAAACAAAAGCGAACCTGGATTATTGATTAGTGCTGACCATGTTATGTACATTACGTAGAGAGTAATGAATGATGATTGCAACAAGCCTGATCGAGGCATTCGTTCCTGAATACGTGGAAGGACCGACAAAACAGACACTAGCACACAGAGAATGACATTAAGAGAGATAAATAACTTTGGCATGTGACATAAATTTCCCTGCAACAATTCTTACTTTCTTTAAATCATATTTTTAGAATACATGCTTGCAAAAAAAAAAGCATGCAAATGATAATGTTTTTCGTAAAAAATTATTTATTGATGTGAATGAAATTTACTAGGCCAAAACTCACCGCAGCGTAAAACATATACATTAGCGCAACTGCACCGACAGCTAACAAATATGACACGAAAGTGAACATCAATAATCCTATAAAATTAATCTTAGGAAAATATAAAAACCAGAAATTTATGGATACCATTGTGGCAGCACTATCCACAACTTCGTAATGATAATTCTGAAAATTCCCCTTAAAACAAAGAATAACTACTTCATCCTTCCTTTCGCATCATTTACACACAACAATAACTTCTCTTTAATAATATTCTAAAATTCATTTGACTTTGTATGCTTCGTCTAACTATACTTGGACTTATTTCATGTTTAATAATCTCCCATTATTTCTACATACATAAGAGCACGAATAAAAATATGGAATAAGGCACTATAAATATGACAAGTTATGAAACTGAACATTATTCCCAGAATGTTTCACAAAAACTACCACAGTAACATGTGCGACTTTCATTCTCTTCATATTTTTCCATCCATCCTTCAGCAAGCGAATGAGCGAAATCAACGATCAAAATAAGCTGGAGAAGTATAAAAATAAAGCCGCCGATCAACCCAGTCCACATTAAAGCTGAAAAAATAACTCATCAGTTTTACAACTAGAGAAAAATCTACCATGTATCAGTATTACATTATTATTTATTTCTTATTATTTTTTATGCCAAGAAGATAAGAAAGAAAATCAGTAATCAAAAAAAAAAAAAAAAAAAAATTGAACCACGAAAAAAAAAACGAACGCGAAGAAATCTTTTCTGAACTGATGTAAAACAACCCAACAGTGATCCCAATAACAATCATATATTTGAAGAACCAAAAACCATTCTGAATTTTTGACCGTGTGTCACGAGATGACTTCACTCCCAACATCAAAATCATAAGCGCAAAGAAAAAAATTACCACTGCTCCGCAAAGTCTATAAATTAAGTGAATACCCAATGTCTTTATTAGAACTAAATTTTGCATCTCAAATATCAAACTCTAACATACTACACTTATTATAATTTTATTCGAAGACTGAAACAACTATTAAATATATATAATAAAAAAATTCAAGTTCATACCTGTAAACAGCTTGGAAACCGACAGCGTGAGAACAGTTTATTCCAGCAATTCCGGAGAGACCCTCACAAAACCAATTTGACTAAAATTAAAACATGACAGTAATAATAGTAAACTGGAAATAGCAATCTTATTTAATTAAAAAGAAAAACAGAATAACAATTTTCTCTACACGAAATAGAAGTTTGGCGGAAATAAGCTTACATCAGCAAGTTTAGCTTGTATACCAGGTGCAAGCATCAGACACGCCATAAATGTACTGATCAATAACATTCCAGCATACATTACTCTCGTAGTCAATGAGCTTCGAGTAGATGGACATGCTGCACAGCACAAAGAGCATGCCGCACTACCGCAGCAGCATGCTAACTGTAAAAGAAAAGGAATACAGCAATATATTTGACACTAACCAATGGTTAGTACATGAATGTTAACATGATTTCATGCCAAACTCTGAATACAAAATTACAACATCCAATCCAAAATGTTAAAATCGAATGAATAGTACATAATTAAAAATAGGAAAAATTAATAGAAGGCATTATTTTCACTAATATCTATTTCAAATAAAGATTAATAATGTAGAAACAACCGATGAAAATTATTTGTCAACAATATTTTCTGGATATGCCAAGTGCTACATTAGTAGCTATTATTTTTGTTATTCTTACTTTTATATTACTTTCAATATACAACAAATCTAGTACTTATCAATAAAACAGAGCACGGCATTAGCTAATAAGTGAATGGGAAGATCAGTGTTTGGAAAAAAAAATTAATAAATAAAGTGAAACAAACCGATGAGATGCATGCTGGTGTTGCTAGAAGTGCGCCCATTCAGATCGACTAGCTAAAAAATGAATTAAAGTGGAATCTGAAATTATATATTATTCCCTTGATTTTTCTCGCTCCAAACGCTTTCAAACGAATCGACAGAGGTGGTGAGCATGTGGAAAAAACAAATCAAGTTCACACTAACACGATATTCAAACCTCAAGGTAATTTCGATACGATCCTAATGAACAGTTCTATTTAATGTTCCCTCTCCTCATTTTATTTGATGGATAGATAAAGAAATGTTAATACTTTACTTCACCAATTAGAAAAGAGCGCCTTACTACGTCTCGCATCCAATGTAACATAGACAAACCTGGAAAGAGTATTCAGCACTCATAACGCATCTACACAACACATAAACTGTGTAGAAGTATAACACGTCAGTCACATATTAATGAAATACAGGAAGAAAGTAATTATACCATACAGTAATGCTTCTATCACACACTTCAATCCATGCCTTAAATCCTTCACTGAGGTTTTACGAACCTGAGCTCTCTGCTGAAGCAGTTAAGCCTGAACATACACCGTAAATATGCAAGTAGAATGGTCTAATTATTACAGTAGTCATGGAAACACTCTGCTAAGACAACGGTTCATTTCTATAAAGCATTTTATTCACAGCAATTATAGACTCCGCAATACACCGAAACGGAAGGAAGTAGTTTTATGCAATAAGAGAGAAGATATATGCAATTAGTTATTAATATTACCTGAAAATATGTGTTTTATTCAGAGACTTGCATTAAACAGTACCATTTGAAACCAGCTTGAAATTAAATCAACGAACGGAGATGAATATGGAACACAGTCTAGGACTGATGTGAAGATATATAAATGACACAAAAAAGTTCAGAAAATATACAAAATGCAAATAATGTATGTTTACAAATCACCAAAACAACAAGCGGAGTACAACACATGTTATTTTTCGGTATAAAGTACTTTTAGAAATCCTTTTCGAAATGTTTCGCATAAACGGGATCGTTTTTCATGTCCTCGATGACAGCACTAACGTTACCTTTTAGGTCCGCCGCAAGTTTGGTTAGCCAACCATTACAATTATCGAAACCCATTCCTTCCAACTGTATTACACAAAGTGCAATATGTTCATCTGCAATTTATTGATATAAAAAGCGTTAATATAATTTTTAAGCTCGAAAGCGAAATGACAAATGAAATAAATTCAAAACATTACATTTTATAAATCAGATGGCTAAACCATAACGATGAATTAACTCTGAATTAACTCTCTAATCATCATTTGCAGCAAATGAAAGGAAAAGGTGACCTGGGTAAATGAAATAGCAGTGTGGATTGTGTGGTCCAGGTTGTGGGACTATGAACGGCGTACCAGCCATACACTTTCCATTAGTAATAATAGGATACAGGGGTGCATCTGAAAACATGAATAACTGTTCAGCATATATAAACAAACCGTAACAAAGATATCAATACAGCTAGGCATATAAATTCCGGGGCGATTTAGCATAATATACAGAGTTTTGAAGGGTTTGTTTAAATACATAAATTTAGGCCTGGGTCTCTTACATTTTTACAAAAGTAAGGTGATACTGCATTTGGGAGTTGCTATGTAACAATGATGAAATAATATAAGCAGTGGAGAAATAAATACTTGATTGACATTTGTTGCCTGGACTAGTGATGTCCATTATCGTCCACTCATCAGAAATATCATCGCCAGAAGCGACAGTATCAGGCATTGGTTCTTTCGAACTTTGCACCACTTTTTCGGTTTCTTCATGCTCTGAGATGTGCATCTTCTTCATTGGTACGTCCAACTCGTCTGGGATCTGGAAGAAAAAATTAATCTGAAGACAACATGCTCCTGTCATCATGAACAATTAATGGAATGATGATAAGGGTAGTCTAATAACCGTTAAAAGCAAAAATGAAGCATTTGAAGAAAAAAAAAACAATTGTATAAGCTGGAAAGAGATGACAAAATTCCATGAAAAACTCCTAAAAAGACTTCGACACACCGTACTTACCGCTTCAGCATTCTGAACCATGGGACTATCATTTTTCCGTTTTCCATCCTCATTTTCCATCTCATCAATCTTTGAAGCGTTTATTTTATCTTTCTTTTGTTCATCATTTTCATCTATATTGTTTTCCGTAGCATTTCTCTCTGTGTGATCTTCTGCTTTGGGAATTTTCTCCGAAATATCATCCTGCTGCACATCCATATCAACCTCGATTCCTAAACTTACGAAATAAATCAGCTTAGTTTTTTATACTTCTAACATCCTTAACGGCATTAAGACTGATCTTTTATGGTTTCAACATTATCCCAAAGCTTCTGAATAAAATTTCAAACGTTCTTACACATAAGCAATGAAAGTCATATTCTACATTAGTTAGGTTTCAGCAAAATAACTATACTCTCACTATTTTTGGAAAAATGAATATAAAAAACAATACCAAAATTTGCAAGTGCCTGTTGAATCTGTGAGCCAACTTCTTTCAGATATTCCATGCCTTGAGCTACCGAATCCCGAAATTGTGGTGGAAATCCATCATTTTCTTTAGTATTCTAAAATGTGAAAGTAACCAAAGTCATGAATCTGGTTGAAAAGAATGTGCGTCTAAAACACCACTTAGTACAAGCGCTCACTTCCAAAGTGATACATTCATTTCCAATTCGCGTTGTAAGCAACGTTTTCTCCATGAATAAAAAAAACTAACATCAGCAAAATGTGTAGCAGCAGCTGCAGCATGTCTTGCAGCGTGCTGAGCTGCGGCACTAGCTGCATTATGAGCAGCATGAGCAGCGGCCGTAGCAGTTCGTCCGAAAATACCTTCCTGTGAAAATGTATCGCGATGACCAAAAGCATGACTGTTTTGTCGCCAGGTGCGTCTCGGACGGAGGTGTTCAACCTTCTACAAGAGTGAGATAGTTAGATTTATCCAGATGAAAATGATTACCGTTTCTGCTTTTTAAAAAACTTCTATAAAAAAAAATCAAGTGTCCTGCACCTTTATACAACATAAGACGCTTATAACAGCCCTAATGCATGCAGGATATAGTGAACGCGCCATAGCCTTTGATGTAGAACGGATTTCATTTAAACCAAATTTTTGCATCCAAGTCAATAAATCCCCTCCAAAATCCTTGTATAAAAAATGTTACTTACCGGTGTTCGTGGTGTAGCATAACGAATCAAAGCATGGTCTGGATGGCACCCATCTTTCTCACATTCTTCACACAAATCGAAGTCATCACAAATACAGCATTTATAACGAATTCCATAAAGTGGCTGATCGCAACGATTACATGTAACAAACGGATGGATTTCTTTCTGCAAAGATTAACAAACTAAATGGAGTAAATGAGATGCTTAAATAACGAGAAGCTTCCTATTTATTGACTACACTAAATATCCTTATCAACAGAAATCACCAAAGCGGAATGAGATCTTCATAAAAATCAAAACACATTCAGAAAATTTGCCCTCATTCTTGAGTTTAAACATTCCTGTTCCATTTTGCCCTCAGTTTAAACATTCCGTTGCACAACTCATTCTCGAGACAAGTGATAAACCAATGTTTTATTCTCAGCTACGGTATATATATATATCCTAATTCTAAGATAAAAGAGATGAAACATTATAAAATATACCAACTTTCTTATTTTAAAAACCATAACCCAAATTTCAGATAAAAAGATAAAACATACCACTTTCTTATTTCCTTTCTTCGTGTCCCTCGATGATTTTTCTCTCTCATGTTGCGGGAGGTCTTCTATCAAAATGATAAAAATTATCTGATTGCAACAAAAAAAAAAAAACTGCAATAAACTGGCAAATTCGGTAATGAATTCTGGAATGTATTCACAACCGGAGAGGTTTCACTTTTCAATAAAAGTTCTGTTGAGAAAGAATGAAATAAGGAAAACCAGTATTCTGCAGTACGTATTAAGAAATGTCTTAATAAACTGGATTCTGAAAAAACCCTTACTGATCGTTTGGATACGAAGTTGATTGCCTGTGGTAATATGGAGTGCACTGCGCAATTCTTCGTCAGTTGAAAAATGTATTATATCGCCTTCTTCGTCTAGAAACATCTTTTTATTGAGCAATTTCTTAAAAATTTGTTTCAGTGTCAGTTTTTTCCTTTAAGTAGACAATATTCACTGATGAACTGCTTGAAAATTAGGTTCATTTTGTTTATTTTTTTCCAATGAGTGGTGTTGTAATACTTCATTTTACTTACTCATTCTTCTCTTCTCCAGTATTCCATTTAGACATTTTACAAAACAAGAAATAATTTCTACAGTTCAAATAATGCACTGATGAGATATCTCCTCACTGAATTATCTCGTTACTCTATATAACAAATAACGAAAATACATAGAGCTAATTATTTAATATCTGAGATCTGAGAGAGTTCTGCAGTCCGAAATTACCTTTCCAGCCCAGTCTGCCGTTAAAATCAGGAACTACGGTATTGATTTTAACTAGTAACAACCGGTACAAGTCACCAACAACATCCATAGGCAACTGGAAACGTCGATAAACGCCAAAATGATCCCACTTGATGTTAGCAATATTATGAGCGGCCATTTCACTGAAGACAAATGTTATAGAAAAGTTTCCGTGAAGTGCAAAGTGGAATGCAACGCAGTAAGCAGCACTGAAAGGGGCATTACTACATAGGCAGTAACTGTTTGGATTATGACGTCTAAAGCTATAAGCAAAGTTATATGTATTTTCTGTATACTAAAATGTAAGAAAATAACTGCAGGCACCGGGTTGTTCTGCAACACTGACTATGCTTACGATGACAATGCTATATTGACGCCCTAATTAGAATCATTACAGGTCGTACAAGAATCTGTTAGACGAGAAAAAGTGGACGGATGACTGTGCAAAAAGAATGTAACACACAGGGTGGAGCAGAACACCTACAATGTATGATCGACCGAATTAATACAGGAAATATCTAAACCAATGCCACCTTCAGCAAGGGTGAGGGTGAGCCCATCTAACGTAAACCACCGGTACCTGCACGACTCGGCCACCACTCACGCATTGAATCGACTGATCGATCAGATGAAATAAACAACATGACGCTGCTTCTAGCCCTGCTACCTCTCTCACCAAGGCATGTGACAGCAGCACACTGAGGAGAAGGCATCTGATACCGAGAGGACAGCAAGCAAGCAGGCCACACATACAGACAGACACGACACAGCAAGATAGTAGTAACCCTCATCCGACACACGATCAATGTGTCCTGGCATCTCAATCACAATTGACATGACGAACGACAAACACCCTACCCTAATCAATAATAACATAACATACGCCAGATGTATAGCCCAACTCTTTGAAATGAAATCTAGTTGGTATTGCTGTAGATACTGCTACTGATACTGCTGTGACAGTATCATCTAGAGAGAAGGAAATGATTAAAATGAAAGTTTGTATTTAACCATGCAACATCTGACAATAATGAAAAATAAATATATGGAAATAATGCACATGCAGCATATGAAATTTCAGAAGATGACAAGGACAATATAATAATGCGTTCCAAATAACAATACAGCATGTGACAACACTAGCAAGTTCTACAGTGATGTTGATTTCAAATACTAGCAAATATTCCAAAATGTAACCGCATCAAATATATATGAATTGGGAATTAGTCGTTAAGACTTCAAGATCTCAAGGCCTATAGGTATAGGTTATAGGATTCGAGATTTGTTTCAAAAATAAAATATAGTTCTGAAAATGAATTGCTGGTATGACACTCTTCAGGGTTCACGAAGAATCAGTGCTTCTCTTTCCTCACCCACACCAATCCACTTCACTGGTACTCCGACATACTGCTCAATGAATTCAATGAAAATTCGACAATTTTCTGGTAATTCATTAAAACTCCGCATAGCCAATATCGGTGTGTTCCATCCTTTGAATGTACGGTATTCGACCTCCACTTTCTCCCAGTCGGAAGCCTGTGCTGAAAGAACGGTCAATAAAAACAAATTACTTGATGACGTATTCGAAAGTTAGACAAAGTATGTTAAAGAATGAAATGAAGTTTGGCAGATAAACTTACATAATGCTTATGTTACTCTCAGTAAGATAGTTCTTTTAGTAAAGAACTCCAGTCCCAGAAAAGTAATGAAAAGAATTGCATAAACAATGCTTACACGGAGGAGATTTCAGCAATTCTTTATCCAACCTGTAGGCAACACCTGCCTTGATTACATCAAATGTATCCAGGACATCCAGTTTTGTCAAAGCAATGCTTAAAAATCAAAAGTAAATATAGTATAGGACAAAAGCTTTTCAAATATTTCTCAAGACTTCTCAAATAATTCCAGAATTACATACTCCGTGAATCCATTAATAAGATGTGCTCTCTTTAAAAGGACTAAATCTATCCAACCGCATCGTCTCTTTCGACCCGTCGTAACACCAACCTGAAATTGGGAACTCACATCAAAATAATGAAATAAATCAATGTCCTGACCGATTGTGCAAGCATCTTTTTTTTCAGTACGAATTTTCAGTTTTCCAAAAAATATAATCCAAACTCTTTTTTTTTTTTTTAGAAACTTAAACCACAATATGTAACAATATACAATTAGCAATCAAAGAATCAAAGGCAATCCATATTATTAACGGACCTGACTAATAATGAATATATCAGGACGTTTTAGTCGGTAGTTATAGTTATATTTCCTCTCATGTTGTAACTTTATTCAATTGTCCCAAAAAGAGGCTGTGGTTGGACAATGGTGTTAAGCTGGATGAAGGACCAGAATATTAAAAATGTTACAATTAAGGTATGGAATATTCAATAACAGGATAATGATTTGTACTTCATGCCCTATTCGTTGTAGCTTATCGCCAATGTCATTTTTCAATTCCGTAGGAAATGGTCCAGAGCCAACTCTAGTAGAGTACGCTTTTGTAACGCCTATCACTCTCTTGATCGACATTGGTGGAAGTCCCAAACCGGTGATAGCACCTCCAACTGTTGCATTTGATGATGTTACAAATGGATAAGTTCCTGGAAACATCAACTAAATGATTAAGCTTTCTACAATTTTAGTCTTACCACAAACCTTTCCTTAAGAGCCAACAGGTACTTGAATTTTTTAAAGCAGTTGCCGAAAATTAAAACAATCACCGAAATCGATATCCAGCATGGTACCATTTGCACCTTCAACAAGTACAGTTTTTCCACTGCTTCGTAATTCATCCAATGTCATTACCGTATCAGCGACCAGTGCCAATTCATTCAATTTATTCGCGTGCTTCTATGAATGAATTTCAGAAAAAAAACAAAGTTGCTTAATCTCTTTCCACTACTTTGGTTAATCAAATAAAAATTAATAGATCTACCTTGAATTTGATCAACTCGAGATCAACGTCAATCTCCAAATCAGGATACTGCTTCTGATAATATTTAACAAGTTCTCGAAATCTAAAGATTTAATTCGTTAATTAAAACTTCCGTATTTCGAACTATGTAAGATATTTCATTTTAGAAACAAATAATTTGGGTAAGAAAATGTGATTCATAAATATGATACTTTAAAGTAAATCCATCAAAATCGTAAACTAAATCGCCAACTCGGAGACCATTTCTAAAACATTTGCTAGAATATGTTGGTCCAATACCCTTTTTTGTTGTTCCAATTTTACTGAAAAGAAACAGTAATTTTATACTCATAACAATGAGAAAATCCGATAGAAAAGCAACAGTTAAAAAATTAAACAATCAACTTGTAACGCATAGAACTTACTTGATATTCAGTCGATCCTCCGAATGACCATCAACAAGCATATGGATATCACATATGAGATGTGCTCGATCACTGATTAATATTCGTTTTTCCCATCCAGGTATGTTAGTAATTTTGTTGTGATCCAATTCTTCAAAAAACGAATCTAAATTTACTACTGTGCCATTACCTGAAAATCAAAATGCTGAATCAACAGAATATCTCAATAAACACACGCTGGGGAAATGTAATTACGACTGAGCATAAACTACGCATATGTCATATTGTTTTGAACTATAAAGTATCGTCTTAGATATGATTTCTACTTTTCTAATTCATGATTTCTATCGTCGATGGCAGATAAAAATTAAATAAAATCTTACCAATTATGTTGAAACATTTTTCAGCAATGATTCCTGAGGGTATAATATGAAAGTCATATTTTCGTCCATTAGCAACAACAGTGTGACCTGCGTTGTTACCACCTTGACAGCGTGCAACAACTTGTACCTAAAACTTTCCAACTACCTCTTGTTTAAATTAGCATAGCATATTATGGAAAACATCAAAAAGAGAGCGCATAGCAAACCACTTTATGATTTATAATTTATGTCAACACACGCACATTGAAGATCACACTTGAAGCTTATGAGAAATCATAATCACACGATATCAATCCTTAACAAATCCATATAATCATCTCAATAACTCATATGATGGGGATTCACCTTATCTTTCGCAATCAGATAATCGACAATTTTTCCTTTACCTTCATCACCCCACTGAGCACCCAACAACACGGTCACGGTCCCCTTCTGTTGCTCCTTTAACATTCTAGATGACCTTAAAACAAAAATGACAGTCTTTTGAAAAAATAATTCCCGTAACGAATAACGCATAGTCTAAGAAACATGCCTAATAACTCATTCCTTAATAAACATCTATCTAGAATCAGGGTATTTATGGAAACAGACGACACTACGATAATCTTACAAAACCCGTTAGTCATTATCAGTGTCAAGAGAAATAGCTTAAATATAGCAAATATCCCCAGGAAGAATCACGAAATTCGTTTATATATCACAGAAGGAACTCAACTTCCATCTTCTACTTCCTAAACTGTGTTAGTAATGATTTCAGAAAACCTCTTTCCCACTACATTTAGAGTTTTACATTCCTATAAATCAAAATCAAATCTCCCGGGATTATTGTAAACACACTAAGAGAAATTAACATAAACATTTGAAAAAAAGAGAGAAGATTTATTCTTTTTCTGTCTAAAACTAAATATTCAAAACAACGAGAAAGAGTACAGTACCTCAGAAGTGGAAAACAATGCACTAAAAATTGTCATAAAACGTATGAATTCCAAAAAGCTATAAACTATATAGAATAATCCCACATTTTTACAGCTTTAAAAATTTTAAAAGTCACTTAGAAGTTTCTTTTACTTAACACAATAATGAGTGAGGAATTTCATTTATGCCCCTTAAAATATGAGTGAGAATACTGTACTTGAGAAAAAGTACAATTAAACAACAAAATGTCTAATCATATTCATATATCCGTGCAGCCTGCATAAAGTATATAAGTTTGATCTTCCTACTTTATTGCAGAGCACTTCTTAAGAATGAATCAGAAAGATATACTATATAAGCACGCATAAGAAAGGAAAAATTTTTTCAGTTAAAATTCAAATGTTAATTTCCAACAACTTATTCAATTTGAATAAATTCCGTTTTAATAGTCATCCATTTTCTTGCTAATAACCTTCTGTTCATAAAAAAGTTTTGAAAGACGTTAAAAGGATACCACAAAGCACATGAATTAAATATTTCATATGATAACTTGTTATTTAGAGACAACACATCATAACGCACTAAACAAAAAACAATGAAAAACATACAGTCGATCATCTTGCAATTTTCACGAAAATCCCCCAAAATAAAATGACAAAATTAAAATCGATTTCTAAAATATTCTACGACTGAATAATTACGTTAAGAATGTTAAGAATGGTGAACTCAAAATAGTTGTCGACTTGTGAAGCCTTTACAAAGTGTTTTTCTGAACTGATTGAAGATAAGCATTTGAAATTTTACGACAATAAAACAACCTGAAATAGTAGTTTTGTGCCACTAAGAACAAAGTGGATAAAAATTTTCCTAATGTATTGCAGTTAATTACAATAACACTGAAAGAAAAACAGTACTGTCCTTATATAAATCCAATGAAATTCTCAAAGTTCCCTAACTCTTGAACACTAAACTTTTATAAAATTACATAACAGCGGTACCAATATAATCTTTTCATGTAAAATACAAACTGTGTTTCTCATAACACTTCTTTAGCTTTCACGTTTTAAAGGACTGTAATAAGGATGTTTACGAATCCGAGGTGGTTCAGTCTCTGCGAAAAAGCTCTCAATAATGTAATCTCGATTCCTCTGACAAGCTGGTCCACACATTCGTGAACCACACTTCTCACATGGATAATGGCAACCTAAACATGCACATTTAGAAATAGAAACTTCATACATACGACTACATTCTCCATAAAAATCGTTGAAATAGATAAAAACTAAGGTCATCATAAATAATATCTCTCACCAATTTTAGAAAGAACAGTAAAGTGATAAATCATTATTTCCTTTTTTTTTTTTTCATTCCGAGTTTAATTCAAGCATAAAACCTGGTTTTAAATTAAAAACTCTGAAAATGCTTACTGACCAGGACAAGATATCCGCAAACAATCGCATAATTTGACACAGTGACCATCGACCCTGATAAGATACCCCTCCTCGTCGTGATGCGGAATGTAATCCGTCATACGATCGACAGAAGTCAGTGCTGAAATTAAAGCAAAAATATCCTTCGCGATGACGAGATTTTTAGAGCAGCTGCAAATGATCTGAAATTCTCCTATTAAAACGAATATTGGCGAAAAATGGCAACCGATAGAGAAATCAGCAATGAAAAGGAGAAGAAGTAACTTTCTCATTCTAAAATGCGAAACACATAAAGCTTTATGATCTTCGGCCGTAATGTTAAATTCAGAATTAAAGAATAGCAATATGTACATGTGGAAGTAAGTAACAAAGAAAAACAAAGAAACTGTAATATATATGAAGCAATAAAAGAAAAAAAAAAACAAGTTAATAAGTGACATCAATATTTCTAGGTGGTCTAAACTTTATTTTTCATTGATAGTAAAAATTTTTTTATTTTTGACAGCTTGGGAGAAGAAAACCTTCGAAAATCATAAGCAAACCTTTCCGATGTCTTGATGATCTACGAACTCCGTGTCTATCATACAAGGTTTCTTCTGTGGAAATGAGAGCTGCCTCCCCAGGATTGATAAATCTGAGATTCCTCAATTCCCGATGCATTTGTGGCTGTGATAAATTTCCTGAAAATATTTTCCGACCTTTTTTTCTGAAAGTAAATTTCCTGAACATCTCTCGGGAAAATAAAGCAGCAATTCACCTAACACTTTATCTGCTACGTACAATTTAACAAGCAAAACAAACTGTTATGTGCAATAATGAGAAATAATCTACCAACAAAAAACAGAATCGACAGAAAGTGGAACAAAGGTCAAGTGAAACACTTCGTCTCACTCTTTTTTTTTTTTTCAGTTACAACAAAACATATAAAAATCTTGTGGAATGCGCAGTATTTTCCGTTGAAAAAGAATTGTAAAATGTGATGGAAATAAAATTTTCAGCAGCCGACAAATAAATGTCATTATATACCTAGCTCGGGAGTTGGCAAAGTCGATCCAGTTGAGAATGAGTTTTTTTGTTGTTCACAAGTTCTATCCTTCTCTCCGGTCTTACCCATAACTGAAAAATGACATGAAATGAAAAGTTGCAACTATTCTAAACGGTAAAACATGATACCCACCCACTTCTATTTGAAAGATCAAAAATCAACCCACATAAAGACATTAGATTTGAAAGGAATGTTATAACAAGTAAAATAGATGAACTTGTGATGCAAGCCTGTCATGCAAGTGATTTACCCAATATAAATAGATCGATCCGATTTGGAGTTCTTGAATGACATCAACTTCCAATAAGACATCAAAACCTTCTTATCACCAAGTGAAAGTTTTCAGCTGGGAAGCCATCATTACAATCCTACCTACCTATTCGAACTCCATCCTATTGTAATACAGCTTCTCTCCCTCTCTCCTGCTCTCTCTACCCGATTTACTATCTTACAGTATATAATCGCCCAGTTTGAAACCTCCCCATTAGCAAAGGAGGACAAATCATCCAAGTAATATGTTTACCCAAAAATGAACAAAACTAATTGATATTTCTCCCTTTCTTCCTTTTCCGTATGCTACATGTGAGATTTTCCGGACACCATTCTCGACTTGAAAAGCACAGCAGTTATGCTAACGTGTGAACAAGTAACAAGTCTTTGGTCTATTTCGGAAAGCTGGTGTTCGGAACAGATCCTCAATTATCTGATGTGAGAAAATCAGGAAACGGTGATGTTGAGCAGTTTACATTGAATTTGAAATTTCTTTTCTCAATTTGTCCTTTGATGAAAGACCAAATTACTCCGGATCCGGAACTAAATCGAAGGTCTATTGCACAAGGTATTCTCCTTCCTGTCCAGCACGTGATATGCCAATCCTTAAAGACTGACTCTGTGTACTTATCATTATCATTGTCATTAATTATTGGCATCGTTTGTTTCGTCTTTTGAATGAACTCAAATAACAAAAGTAATTGGATGATGTACTGATTCGGAATAATTGAATATGAGTTGAGCGATCTTTTTCCACGCTTATGTTATACGTGTGAAGCGAAGGGTAGTATATCAGATGTTAACAGAAGTGACAAATGAAATGGTCAAAACTATGAAATGGCAATAACGAGTCGACAACCATTATCGGCTCAGTTCACTTCGTTATTCAATGATGGCATCCATGACATGTCCCCAAAAGGAAGAGCTCACGACTACATTGTCAAACCTTAATTTGCTATGCTGTAGTGTGCATATACATATGTGTGTATGATACCATAATCTTAACTGTACTATCGTTTCTCAACTCAAAAACAAAAGTGACGTCGAAAGCTCAAATACATTTTCATTTCCTTATGACCTTCCTGTCCAATTAATTTACAAATTAGGCAATCAATAATTAGCTTTATCTGAGTGGAACGATAGATTAGTAATTTCATAAACAATTTGTTAAAATTAAAACGAAATACAGGAAGGAATTTACAAAGGTTGAAAGAAAACTATAATCATTTTCAGAACTGGTAATTCGTTACAGCGGTCTATCAAAGTAATTCGCTGTGCCACCTATGTGTGTATGTATGTATGTGTTTGTATGTGTATGTGTACACGACACTATGACCCAAACCTTGTTGTCGTTTTCTCCCAACAAAAAATCGGAGTTACAGGTTGCCACATCTTTTCATCATCCATCCGAATCAGCCCACTTTTATCCAATAATTTGCCCACGTTTTCAAGAATTGTTCAAGTTTGGGAAAGGATACATTCATCGAGATATAATCGAGATTAGATTCTGAGTTAATCACAATGTGCAATGTTGATGCATGAGATGTCATGTCATGTCATGTCATCCACATCACAGTGGATCACCATCATTACTGAGCGAAACAATCCGGTATTGCTCTGGTTGAGCGCCAACCCCCTCCGTTCCTTCAAATCCTTCCCAAAATCCATCCTCCAATCCGCAAAGCGAAAACCATTTTGGCTGATTACTGAAGTCTCTGGAATGCCGGCATCATTCGTCACCACTCTTCTCTTTTCCTTCTCTGTGTCAATTTCGCTCAGATCCTCCAATG